AAGAAGTATACAGTCATCAGAACGGTTTTTATCAACCCCACATAGCTTTCCTCGAACTATCTACCTGAAGAAAAGTTGAGAAAAAGCTACGAGGAGTTGATAACAAACTATTCTGTTGACGGTGAACTCCTTTCAGTTACGAATTGAGTATTTTCTATTTGTTTGGTGTGTTTCAAATGAATCACATGTGGTGGTATTTTATAGAGATTTGAGAATTTACTAGGAAATTGCTAGGAAAAATAGGTACAAAATTTAAATTGGATATTTACTATCTAGTTCCTCTTAATTTCGTAGTAAGAAAACCAGTTCCTCCTAAGTTCCTAGTAAGGCATTACTAGGACTTTACGAGGAAATGTTTTACTAGGGCTTTACGAGGAAAGTGACTTTTTCCTTGTAAGGGCCACGTAAGCTTACTACGACCTTACGAGGAAACGTATTTCTCGTAATTGTACGAGGAACTTACGAGGAAAGCTGGTTTCCTCGTAAACTGGAAGTAAACGCGTAGTAATTTTACGAGGAATAATTTTCCTAGTAAAGTTTCCTAGTAAATTCTTAGTTTTCTTGTAGTGTTCAGAAATAAATGTTTGGGGAAGATGCTTGGATCCCAGATGATCCCCCAAGACCTCTAAGACAACGTGACAAAATGGTAGAAGAAAGGAAGGTAAACTTTTACTTCAACGAAAATAGATCCGTCTGAGATGAGGAAAATTTGAGAAGAGAAATTGTTGAAGAGGATGTTGAAAAATGATAAAGCTCAAGATAAGTTATGTAACACAACAGAAACTGTTAAGTTGCTACTATAATGAAACTGGTATATATACTGTAAAGTTGGGTTATTGGGTTGCTACACATTTACCAGGCCATGAAGTTATTCATCCAACATATGGGAACATAGACCTCAAAAAGAAGCTTTGGAAAACAAAAGCACCTCCAAAGGTAACACATTTTCTGCGGAAATTTTTCTCTAAATGCATGGCTAGTGGAGAAAAATAAAAAGGAGATATGTTGTGAGAGATTCCCTTTGTCGACGTTGTGGTTTAGAAGAGGAAACAGAGAAGCATATATTTTTTGACTGTAACTATGCTAAAGGGATATGGCGAGTTTCAGATATCTCTAATGCGGTTATTAACAATTCTTCTACCTCTCTAGATGAAAACCTAAAGGAAATTTTGATGATATGTTCCTCCACTAGATTCACTCAAGAATTATCGTTTTGGAATCTATGGAGATTGTGGAAGAGTAGAAATATTTCAGTTTTTCAACAAAAACAGATAGTTTGGCGAATGATTATACAGAAGGCAAAAGAAGATGCCGCGGAATGGAAAAAGGTGGAAGCATTAAATAGTACATATGATAGTGTTACTAGAGAAAGGGTAACTTGAAGCAAAAAGCAAAATTGGAGAGCGTCTCCTACAGGTTGGATAAAATGTAATGTTGATGGATCGCTCGTGAATCAAGATACATGTAGCTCGGTAGGATGGGTTGTAAGAGACGAAAAAGAAACCTACAGAGGATCTGCTCAAGTGATTGGTAATAAGGTTCAAAGTGTACTTTAGAGTAAGTTGCAAGGGTTTTTAATGGCGATACAACACTGTTTGATGCAATGATATTGAAGGATTATCATTAAAGGAGATTGTAAAAAAGTAGTTTGATATTCTAAACAATAAATATTTACATTTTGAGGTTTATAATTGGATAAGAGAAATACAGTGATGGAAGCAGAAGCTTGAAGCTATGGAGTTCTGTTGGATTCAACGAGATAGGAAGAGAGTGGCTGACACATTAACAAAAAGTCGGATGCAAGATTATGAAACTTTTGTATTTCTGTTCCAATGTGTATCGCATATCTGATTCATGCGGATTCAGAGCCATGACATGGGCTTTTTATGCCCTAGGCCAAAAAATAAATATTTAACTTATACCATATTGTTTTGCAATGACTAATGCAATATTTTTTCTGTAAATTAAAAGTTTCGTAGGAAAATTCACTAAAAAAATGCTTCTTACAATTTGATGTTAACTTGAAAACAGAACAAATCAAAATATTATTTTAACAGAAATTATATATACTAATATTTTTCACTCACAAAATTAATTTACAATTTTAAAATAAAGAATAATATATTAAAACTTATCTAAAGATATTAATAGTGATTTCAGTTCCAAAATAATATGATTTTATCATAACGTTTTCATTACATATAAAACTAACATATAGAAGAAGTACAACAACAAAATAAATATCTTTGTAACTCAAGACTAGTTGTAGTTAATCAATTTTTAGAATCAATTTGTGCTTGTAGAAAATTTTTAAAATATTAGTTGTAATTTTGATTTATGTTTAAATAAAAATTTAACAAACAGATTTCAAGAGATCATACACAATAAAAGTTCCATAAATATTGCCTATATATAATTTTTGCATCAAATGATGCCCTAAGCCAATGCTTTAAATTTTCTTTAACAGCCCTGTGCGGATTATGTAAACTCTTCCCATATTCAATAAAGAAACAAATTGACATTAAAAAATATAATAATAGTTTAATATTGACAAAAAAAAATATTTAATTATTCATATAATTTTATTTTAGAAGTATTTTGCTATAATAAAAGGAAAGATTAATTTATATTTTTTTAAAGATAGTGAAATATTGTTTTCTGAAAATATATATAGAGGTGTCTTTTAGTTAACTATTATTTAAATAATTAAATATTTTTATATTTGATCAACATTAAATGACAAAATTAACTTTAAACGATAAATGAAAATTTACCTAAAATCCAGTACACAGTCCGTTATATACCAGGAAATGGTAAAGTTACTCTTATATTCTATCACTCTTCTACTAAAATAATTTAATTTCGTTATACTAGTTACCATGCATTTAAATTGAATATCATTTTTAAACAAAAATATTGACAAAAAAAGACCATGAAACGGTTTACACTTTACAAGGAAAAACTGTCTATCTTACATGAACCAAGGGAGAGAAAGACAACCATCAAAGGAACACTATTGCATAAAAATAAGAAATTATAACTAAAACTGATATTATAAATAAGAATAAAATCCATTAAAATTTTTTAAAACATTAAAATATTGTTGAAATAAACATTAAAAATAAAACTAAACGGTGTTGGAGTCATTGTTTGCGGCCGGATCGTTCCCTGTTGCAGACTGATTGTTCTTTGAACCCAAGGTGGTGATACGAAGAAGGGTTGCCAACCGTGGATCCTTCGCAGCAAGGTAGTCAAAAATATCATCAAACCTCTTAAACAGACTATTCTGCGTCTGAAACTGACTACTCATTGTCTGAAACTGACTACTCATTGTCTGAATCTGACTATTCTGCGTCTGAATCACGCGAACTTGATCTTCGATGATCATCTTTAGAGACTCAATGTCCGGTTCCCTAGAAGAAGATTAAGCAAGAGCAGAAGCAGACTCAATCGATTGCAAATAGTTCAAATCAAAATAAAATTGCAAAAATATAAGATTACTCCTGCTCATCATCGTGAGGGATTTCTCCTTGTGAGGGACCAGCGTGGGCCGAGCCTTGCTGCTCGCTGTCGACTGCTAGATCCTCATCTGCCTGCAAACATAGACCAGGAAAAGGGGTTACAAGGAAAAAGTTTCCCTCTTGCAAGAATCAAGGTCGAGAATGACCATCCTCAAAGGAACACTATAGCTTGTTTGCCTAGTTGTGTAACTTCCACCATAATGAAAACATATGCAAAATTATATACCTTCATTGACGCTGGCTTGAGCTGAGATTTGAGATCACGGATAGCTAACTACAGATACAAATTCAAACACTAAGTTTAGAGAACTGTCTCCATGTTATGGTCAGGAAAAGCAATGAGGGTGGAAAAAACAGGCGGTAAGGGATATGATTCGTTGAGACTTTTACCTTCATTTGTGCAATTTCCAACTGAAAAGAGAAAGAAAGAACCATTCGGACATTCGGACACAAAAGTTATCAGCCAAAAGCCAACCTCTTCTTTCAGAGACTTCTCGGAAGATCTTAGGGTTTGGATGTAGTCAATCACAAATTCAGGTTCTGAAAGAAAACACAGTCATTGTAGTTGACTATCAAAAGGGTCTAGCAAGAAGGTGCAAACCAATAACATTGAAAGGAGAAGGCTAACCAGGAGATTTTCTAGAAGGTACAAAGGACTCTTTGTTGAAAGCTGAGTTCCACTTATCAATCTCTGCTTTTGCTGATTCAAGCTCACTCTGACCAAACAAAAATAAGCCAGAAAACAACAAAAATAAAACACTAACGCAGAAAAGAAATGAAAAAAAATAAAAAAAACAGATGAAAGAATAAAAACAATACTTGACATGAAGCAAGCTTGTCTTCACAGTTCTGAAGACTGTCATTAAGATAACGCAAAAGCAGGTTAAAGTTTATACATCAAAACAAACACTCTTCTGCTTCACTCACACCCAAAATAAATAAATAAAAGCATCAAGAGAGGGAAAGGGATACAAAACCTCTCTCTGAGTGACACAATCATCGCAGCTGCTGCAACACCTTCTTCGTCCACTTTCATACAACCCTGAATAATGATGATGATGACAAACAACACTTAATCATATACTTATAGTGAAGAATGTGACAGAGAGAAGAACAGTACACTCCCCAAGGTACATAGAGAATTGGAAAGGACCAAGGAGTCAATGCAGAATATCAACAGTTGTCAAGCAAGTCAGTGAGCAAGAAAAATAAACTACCTTCTTTGACCCGGAGATGTCATTTTCATCGTCTTGGAAGCTTCTTTTACTACCTGAAAACATACGGATGATAAAATAAGAAAAAAAAGAAAACAGAATTTACAACTCCAATCTACCAAAAAGACGAACAAGACCTGAAGCAGAATGATCGTCTGCCATTATAGCAAGTTCACCTAACGAAAACCTGAGATTTCTGCGGGTGATTGTCGATGGTGATTGACGGGAATTGGGGAATTTTAGAGTTTTTTTTCTCTTTTGGTTTGGGGAAAGTGGAAAAACCGGGTCGACCCGGTTCGAGGTCTGGATACGGTTTTGGTCAATACATTTGTAATTGTTTCTTTTTTTCAGGGTCCAAATGTAAAAATTTAAAAGACGACAGGTATAGAACTAAATAGACTCGACGAAATCCTTGACATGAAAAAGCTATTCTTTAGGGCTAAATAATGATAATACTAGGTGTTTTGCCCGCACATGCGGACATAATTTTCGTACAATTTATTATTAGTCTATACTTTATTAATTCAAACCAATATAATAAGTTATGATTTATGTTTTAAATTAATTATAAATGACAACACTCACATAGCAAAATATTTATAAAAATATATTTTTACAAATATGTTGCTTAAATTTATTTTAATTATAATTTTTCTATCTTAATTTTGTATTTCTATAGTAAAAAAATATATTTTCAAGATAACAATATAATACATAAGAAGTATCTTATTTTCTCAAAATATAATTTTTAATATTACAATATAATTTTATCTTATTTTCGTAAATCTAGTATTATCAGTATTCGTTTTATTATTTAATAATATATATATATGAAATTATTAAAATATGATAAAAAAGCAAAATATAATACCATGGAGAAGTTGATAAATCATCATTTATTTCTTTATAGTTAACTATTAATATTTTAACTTAATTTTCAATTTCTATGATAAAAAATATATTTTAAAGATAAAAATATAATACATAAGAATTATCTTATTTTTTAAAAGTATAATATTTTTAATAGAAATTCGTTTTATTATATAATAAATTATTCATAACATTATTAAAAATAGAAAAATAAGTAACATTACAAAAATCATGGAGAAGTTACAAATCAATCAGTAAATTCACTTGAATTTTATAATAGCAAAATAGATTTTTAAGATAACAATTTAATATTAATAATAAATTGTATATGAAATTATTTAAATAAGATAAATAAACAAATTTACCTAAAATCAAGGAGAAGTTGACAACTAAGCAAATTTACTTCTTAAATAATAGTATAGATGTGAGTTTTTAAATATATATATATATATATATATATATATTTAATTAGATTTTTTTACTTGAAAAATTACAATTAAGTTTTTACATAAGTGATATGTGTAATGTGAGTTTCAAATGAATACATGAAACTTTCTGAACCAAATTTGTATATTTTCTCTTATTTATCCCTTTTATTTGTCTTGGGAAATTATATGAAAGATTACCAATAAAATATGAAAACATTTAAATACCAAAATAAATATTTTGGAGCATACAGGTTAACAATCCATTGAGATTTGGAAAAATATGTTGTGACTTTTTAAGTTAACTTTTTGCCTTGTTGCTTTGAATTCTCTGTATTAAATTGTCCGTTTTCTCTCTGGTCAACATTTTTAATGACTTGATTAAATTGAGAGCTGACAAAAATAAACAGATTAGTAACTAGTATTTGATTTTCTAATTATGAATCGAATAAATTTTGCATCCAAATAAGCGAACTTTTACCGTTTTCCAAAACACGGACTAGAAGGCATGACACTTTTAGGCTGGAAGGTGATAATCGAGAGGCCAACAAACACTTTCCTCCCTTTTTTTTTCCTGAACAGAGCATAGCATAGCTTTGAATTATTATATTATTATTAATTAATTTTATATATATTCAAAGTTGATGGCTTTGATGATGATGGTGATGACCCAACTTTATTCTGATCACTTTTTTTTTTAACTCTCTTCTGCTTTCGGTTTGAGCCTATAGTGATTTGTTTCGTTTCTTTTGTCTATTTCTGACATTCTGGGATCTGAGAAGATCAGAATCCAAAAAATTCCTGATCTTTGCTCTAGAAATGGGTTCTTGTTCGGACAAGTTGTTCAACAGAGAGAGAACAGTACATGAGATTCTGGGAGGTGGCATTTGTAAGTGAATCCATACATCATTACCAAATATTAGCTAAGTGATCTCTAACTTGTGTATCCTTTTTTCTTCTTGTAAAATGAATCTGCAGTTGCAGATGTGATCCTGTGGAGGAACAAGAATGTGAGTGTTGGTATAGTTACAGTCACAATAGCATCATGGATGGTGTTTGAGAGCTTTGCCTACACCATCCTCACTCTTCTCTCAAGTGTTCTTCTCCTCTTGCTCTCTATCCTCTTCCTCTGGTCCAAATCTGCATCTATTCTCAACAGGTAAAACCAAACAAGTGTCTCTGTCAAGAGATCCAGTTGTAATTAAAATATTCTTCTTACGTAATTTATTATTGTTATATATCCCTTTGGCTCTTATTAGGCCATCACCGCCATTGCCAGAGTTTCAAATAAGTGAAGCAATGGCTGAAGAAGCTTCTAAGTTGCTACGCAGCCATGTGAATAAACTGCTACAAGTCTCGTATGACATTGCGATGGGAAGAGACTCTGAGTTGTTTATCAAAGTAGCTGTCCATCTGTTTCTCACATCATTCATTGGAAGCCTCATGAATTTTCAGACACTTTGTCACACTGGTAAGTAATAAATCTCATCATAGACTTGGCCTGGTTTTGAGCTGGAGATTCAATCATTACATCGCTGGTTGTTTTGGCAGGGGTTTTGGTGGTAATGACAGTTCCAGCTTTCTATGAGAGATATGAGGAATACATAGATGGATCTCTAGTGTTCATCTGCAACAAAGCTAAAGAGATTTACCTTAGATTCGACATAGGGTCTTATCTTGAATATAAGAAGAAATTGAGCTAAGAACTCTGTCTCTTCTTCAAGAGTTGTATGATTTTGATTAATGTTTGAATGGTACAGCAACCCACCACAGTAATTTATTTCACAGTTTACTTGAAAACAACTCTCTATTCCAAAACAATATTCGATGATGTTCTGGCCTCTCTCTCTCGACCACCGAAAAAATTAAGGAAAATAATGTTGTTCTTATTCTTCTCTGCACTTTGTTTGTGTCTCAGTATTATTTCTTGGACGATTCTAGTTCCCGGACATACTTCTTTGCCTGAGTATTAAAACGATATTAGAGAAGAGAAAGAGGCAAAAGGTTTTGCGTGGATGGATTCAAAACAAATAACAGTTTAATAAGTTGTTTACCTGTTCTAGGGTCAAAAACATGATGACGTTCCATGAGCCAAGGCGTCCAAAGTTGGGGATGAAACCCTTGTAAAATGCCATAGGTCCCTGTAAAGTAAAAAAAGCCTCAAGAGTTATATAAACTTTCTCTGTGGGTTATGTTATTTCCAAAGAGAACACACAAGAAGAGTTGCTTACGTCAGCCTTCAGAGTTTTAACGAAGCAGTCAATGGTGCCTTTGTAAGAAGGATCTCCCATCATTCTTGACTTAACCTGTGCCACACAATAAGATTCAAGGAAGACAATCAGGAGGCATAATGGACAAACTAATGGTTTTAACTTCATGTGTAGAGATACTATACCACGTCAACAGGGGAACCAATGCAGACAGCAAAGAAACCTGCTCCCAGTCCAGATAGAATGTGTGTGACAACGTTATCAGTGAAACCCGGAATCTTCAAGATTGTCTGAAAGATTAAAAAAAAAGAAATGTAACAAGAACGTTAGTAAAAATATTAGACAAGAGAAATAGAGGAAATGGTTGGTTTCCATACCTGCTTCACTTGATCGTAACTCGCTAATTCAGCAGCATTGATGATAGCGTTTCTAGCTACATTAGGTCCAAGACCAGTCCAAAGAGCTCGGACTCCTTCCTGTCAGAGGCAAGTTAAAATAGATATGAATCAGAGTTTAATCAAACTTAAAGCATGACCGACCTCAACTACCACAGCGGGATAAGTTAACTACCTGTCTAACAATCGTTGAGTAGGCATTCAGCGATCCAGTATACCGTCTTGGTACACCTGCAGCTAGTTTCCCTTCAGCCTGAAGTCTAACTTTCACAAGATCAGTGGGATTCGCTACCATGATACCCAGCGCACCTGAGAGTTTAACAACAACAACAACATGAGACAAACATGTACTCAGAGTTTCTTGTAAACGGTTCTCCCGTGATGCTCACCTGTGGTCAAACCAGCAAGGATTTTCTTGCTCAAAGGAACATCACCTACATGGTCTTTCCCAACGTACAAGTTTTTAACCTGGATGAAAACAGATTAGTTAAGCTTTCTTAGTAGTAACTACGATTTCTAGAGAAAGCGAAAAGTAGTTTTGAGAACCCACCGGCTCATACATTCCGATCCTTAGACCTCCAAAGAGGCATTGA